AGTTCAACAAAAATCCAGTTGTAATAATTATAGATGTTCATGAAGCTATTAGTACTCTATCTCTGTAAAACTGCATCAAAAAGTGAGTAATATTAATACCTCCAATAAGAGTTAAAATATAAAATAACAGCATTAACGGAAGTGGAACCAGTAACAAGTTGGTACGTTGTAGTATTTGTAATGATCCATATCCTAAAAATGTTATATAAATGTAATAACAGACTCCAATTAGCCAGAAAGTGTTTCCAATAAACCTTGAAATGAACCATTCATGGCTTATAAGACCTAAAAATAGTTATTAGTTTGAAAAATGTTTTATTTTTTATATAATTAAACTCCACCATTATAAAAAAATAACTGGCAAAAGTTGAGAATTATTAATGGGGGTAAAAAGGCATTTAAGTGTACATCAAAAGCAAATCCCCATTCTACATCTTGATCTTCATTTACACGAAAATACTTGTTTAAAATATACCTACAATTAAAACAGTCAAATTAACAGACAAAAAATAAAGGTACCATACTCATACCAAAAAATAGTGGCTATTATTAATCCTGCTAATATGCAATCCACAAATATTGCATACAAAAGAAAGTTTACAAATTGCAAAAACGTCAATCTTGAAACAATGGCAAAAACTACAGATGTAACTGCAAAATTGTCCTTATAACATACTTGTGAATAAACTAAGAATGATACATACCGAACAAACACAGAGAAAATAATACTAAAAAGGCTGGATCATCTCTTGCAAACTGTGATTTTGTTTCTAAAATAAGAGCAATTTAATGAATTTGTAATAAGGGCACAAACGGTTTTCATACGTTTTCTGTACTGAAAGTTACGGTACACTTTTTGTGGGGCAACAAATAAATAAATCATTTGCCATAAAGCAAATTCAAAGTCCATTTGATCAAATTTAAACACTCGACGTAAATACTTCCATCGCTTCGTTGCTGCTGAGAAACAGTCCCTTTGAAAATTGGCTGGTAAGGGTAAAGGGGAAGTGCTCCTTGAGAAACTCATTTTTATACAATAACATAACCTGTATTAGGACGTCTTAAAATTTCTTTATTACACAGTTTCGGTTATATGCACAGCACTGTAGATATGGGTACGATTGCACTAGTATTTTGCTCGCATTTATTGCTGCATTTAATTTAGTAAACAACTGCTATTTATTTAAAATTATAAGGTGATTGTCTCCTAAGCCTCTATGATTGGCCCATAGACAAGATTAGCCCTTAGCCTTCTGAAATTCATTAAGCCGTAAACATTGACCCTAACAAACGATTAATATTTGCAAAGTATTTATCTTTATAACTTTATAAAAAATTTTGATTTCTTAATGGAGGGAAATATTTACATATTTGCTCTAGTTACCGAAATTTCTGAAACTTAATTCTTTATACTCTCTTTGGAAATTTAATAATTCTTTATTTTCTGCTTCAAGGATCCCTTTTTAAAAAAAAAATATTTTCACGTAATTTTATTTTCTACTTTTTAGTGCGCCTTAATAAAAAAGCATTTTTTTAAATTTCATTCCATTAATTTTATTTGTGTCTCATTTTTCATAAGAAAATCATAATATATGAATAAACAATGAACCAAAGTTAAATAAATAGCAGAAAACAACGTTTATATTATCNGGGGTAAATCAAAACTATTAACGTAAACAAGAACAAATAATATAAAATTTTAATGTGAAAATTCATTATTTTTTTACCCACTATAAATTACCTCATATACAAACAATATAGTTCATTTTTAAATCTTTCTCTCCTTATTTATTAGAATGAGTAGGTATCAAGCAGTTTGAAAAAATCCTAAAAAGAAACGAGTGCTTGAAAAGTATCCTAAGTTTAAAATTTGAGAAGGGCAAAAGAAAATAACTTCTTTTTTTAAGAATAATTTAATTGGTCCTTTCTGTAAACACTGACGCACTTAAAGATCTATGTTCATATAGATACATGCTTACTTAAATATACACTTTTATAATTGCATTATTCAATGAAAAATTGTAAAAAAAAATAATTAAACGATATATTTAATGACAATACAGAGTTTTTGCTTGTGGGATAACATCTATGCTCAACTTCTGTTATGCAAAATAATTATTTAACATTCATGGCATTATTTGTGATATGATTAGTAAAAATGGAGTCATGCCAGAGTAAAATAGGCGATTTTGCTCTGGGATACCCCGCCACACTATTTTTCAAAACTTGCACTACTCAAATTGATTGGGAAATCTGGTTTTGGAAAATAATATTCATATTTTAAAGCGTACCTTATGTATATTATGAGATCAACTTTTAAATGTTTGAAAAATTTAAAACCCCTTTTGTCTTAGTCGTCTTTCTTTTCAGTTTTTAACCTCTGGCAAAATAATCCTTTTTCACACATCATACCGCAAGTTTATCGAAATACATATAAAACTAAAACACTAAAAACTCGAATCTCCACATAAAACGTTTAGAAATCTAAAGCGTGTTTCAACCCAATGTGTCATCCATGAATAAAAACACCATTTTAAACTATTAAAGAATGATCTGTACTAGAGGTGGGTCACACTTGTTTTGTCTTTGGCATTCACTCTTTGCTGTCCTAATTACATTCACTAATATGATCACCATCAAACTTCATCCTTAGTACAGACCCTTTTTTAATACATGGTTTAATAAGTCCCTAACTGAGGATGACCCCTTTGGATGTTAAAATGCGATATAAATTCCTAAATTTTACGTGAAATTATAGGTTTTTAGTGCTTTACGGAAGTCCTTTTGATTATCTTGAAATGTATCTCTATGTGATTAATTTTCGATGACTTAAAGTTTAGAATATAGCATCTAATATTTAATTTAATACGTTGTGCCTGTTTTTTTTTTCTTATTGTAGAAGTAAAAATATTTATGCGGTTTCGTTATAAAAAAGGAAAATTGTTTTTATGAAGGACGGATAGAGGCCAGGCGAAATTAAAGACTGCTTTATTGTTATAAAAACTTGATTTAAAAATGTGATGTTTCATATATCTAATTTATAGTGAACAATAAATCTATGTGCGAATCTAAACCAGTCTTGGAAAAAGAAAACATGTACGTTGCTTGTCTTGAAATGTTGTCATGTCCTTTACAATCTTATGTAATTGAAATTTAATTTAAAATTGGTACAGGTATACGTTAAGAATTTGTTTTTAAAAAGACCATTATATAAATGCTCTACTTTTCTTTGCTATCACAATTATGCTATACCAACATTTAAATTGATTTGTTTTATGATTAGAATTGTTAGTTATTTTCTATGTATGTAAGGCTACTGCTACTGCTTCTCTACAAAACTTTCAAGTTCGTTTTTATACTAATTATGGGATGGTACAATGTTGCTTTTTTATTATTAAAGTTTCATATCCACATTTCGTATTTAAACTTCAAATTGATACAATTTAAAATATTCTCTTAGTGTTTTCTAAATTTTATATATTTATACAATTTTTTTACTGAATTTAGCATCATTACGTACTATTACTGAAGGAGAACGTTAACCTTAACAATTTTTCTTAAACTCATTGAAGTGCCAATTAAACTTTAAACGAACGAGATAGTTAAATTGTGTTCTTTTCAAATAAATAACAGTTGCCGCAATCGAACTATACTAAAGCTTTATTTCATTTGGCATGCTCACTTATTTAATTCAAGTTTGTTACTTCAATATGAAGTTTAAAGTACGACTCTCGTTTTATTCATTTATTACTACAAAAAAAGTAAAAAACTACTATTTTTAACAATAAAAGCTGCAAATCTTGACTACAACGTAATTTTGTAGAGTAGTAATTAATAAGCGATAAAGCGACTTATTACAAGAAGTTTACAACAGTTCTTTCATTGACTTGGTCAATTTAAAATTTGTTTAACCACAATAACCACATTCTTTGGCATTAAATCAGTAGCGTTAAATTTATTAATATAATTTTTCTCTAATGGCAATTACTATAAAACATTAACATCGAAAATCCCCTTCTTTTTAATGCTCTCTATTTTTTCTTTTTGCTATATTCTTTTCAAATATAATAAGAAAAAATTTCACACTACCTACCTTCTATAATGATATACGGGACAGTTTCATACATAACACGGAAAAGATCGGACTTTACAATTCATACTTCGTTTTTTTTACTTGATTCGCGGGACACCTGTCACTGGTCATTTGAAAGCAATAGAGCTTCTGCAAAAATAGATAAAAAAATATTAAAAAATAAATAAAATGGTACTCTAAGAGTATCTAAATGATTTGAATGAAATAAGAGTGCAGTGTTAAAAAAATCCAATAACATAAAGCCCAACATAAATTGTTAAATAGACAAGAATAAAATAAAAACATAAACCACAACCTTTTACCATATTACCAAGAAAGTAATTGAATTGGAAAGAATTGTTTATAAAAAGAATTTATAAACTGCAACAAATTATGAAGCGTTAGCGTACGTACATGGACAAACACTGATAATCATCGTCAAAGACAACTTTTTAAAGACGTTCCACAGTTGTGCAGTGATTATCAAGCTACAGCTTGATGTGATACACCTGCTTCCATACCTTCAGGTGGTACTCGTACACAGTCCGAAGACGATATCGAACCATTTACAGTACCGTTTGTAAAAGCGTATGATTCTGGGATATTTTCAACCATAGCACATAGAGCCTGAACCGCCAAATGTAATCTTAAATAATCATCAACACTATTCCATATCCCTGGCCGCCAATTGTGATACAATTTAGCATACATATAAACATCTGCATGGTTTTCATAAGCCAATTGTTTCTTTAGAGTAGTTAATGAGCAAAATGTGGCAGCCTCTGTTCCACCAAATCTGCAAATTTAACAAAAAAAGTGAATAAGGAAAAAAATCCAGACCTGACGCACCTATCAATAACAACAATAGGGCCATTTTGATAGTTTGATGGTAATTCTTGAACTAATGTTGGAAGTGTATACATTTCTGCAGGATTTGCACATGCATGTGGCCAATTTAAGGAATGTATCATGCGCACATGAAGTTCATAATCGTCCTGTAAGGATTGTAATGAAAACTCTAAAATTATGTAGTCTGACTGAGCCTCCTGACTGAGCAAATTCACTTTGAAATTTTCTCCCTCTATGCTACCATTCTCAACAGGCCAAAATACTTCATATTCCTTGGAAAAAAATTGTAAAGTAATCTTGTCAAAATTAAATAAATTAAATTACCTCATCAATTATACTTAAAAGAACAAGAATTTGTGCGTTATGGTCCCAAACCATTTGCCAGAAGTCTCTAATAGTTTCTTTGAGAGGATGTTGTGTGATTATGAATTCTTTAAGACTGTGAAATCCTTGAATCCATGACGCATTTATATAATCAGACCCCTCTTCACCAGGTTTTGGGGTAAGATGGACTCGAGAACTTTCAACAGGCACAATACTTTGACACCGATTTTTATTTGCATTCACCGATTTATTTGCTGATACAAGATTAAAGTCTTTACATTGGAAACTTGTTACTAACTGTAAAACAAATATAATTATCATATCATGTATGTAATTCAGAAAAATTAGATGCTGGTGTAGTCTTTTTCTGAGAGTATTCATTTAGAACGACTTTGACTGGCTCCCCATATCGCAAAAGAACAAAAACAATACTTGGTAAAGATGATGTGGTTATTTCAGCCTGTTTATTTTATATCACTAATAATTCGATTATAATATCGGTAACTGGAACAGATTTAGTTTTTATGGTTTAATATGTCAGAAAAAGGCCACTCCACAAAGAGTAGGGTGACAGATCGGTTTTAGAGTTATTATTTTTATTTGCAGCAGTGATTTTCATATGGTGATAAGATAAATCAAGGTAAAATTAAACAACTATATAAATAATTTATAATACGGTAGTTTTTAAAGGATATCTACTTATAAATGGAAGAAGAATCAAAGAAATATTGCAAATCAATTTCGTTTAAAAATTTAAGTTGATCTATAAATTCAAAATGCTTTCTTGTTCAGTATTTTGCAATATACCTAGAATAGGGCACAAACTCATACCTTAAATTGGTAATCCAAAGGTTTCCAGTATTTTTGCTTTGACTCTGTATTTTCTTCCTTCTCATTCTGAATTGCGTTAACATACCTTGCAATTTCCTCTTTTGGTATGTTTGTTTCGCCTGATTGTATCGCTTCTAAAAGGGCATCATGAATAAAAATGTATTGTTCTTCTGTCTGGACAAGAAAGTTTCTTTGAGACCTAATATGCTTAAGGAAACCAAATATGTTAACTTCTCTTCTTTGACGAATTTGTCGAAGCATCGCATCCAATACAATATACGCCCCTGTTCTGCCAACACCGGCACTAATTAAATCAAATTAAATTGCATTAATAAAGTAAAACAATATTGAAAAACAAAGCAATTAAAGAGTCATTTACCTGCAATGAACAACAACCGGTCCTGCATTTGGTAAATTTGCAGAAGCGGATTTTTTAACAAAATGTAAAACGGGTAAAGGATGATCGGGGGTTCCATGATCAGGCCAGTTTGTATAATGGTACTGATAAACCGTTTTTTCTGCAGAAAATAATTTTCTTTTCTTAACCTACAAAGATGGTAATGAATAATTTTTTCAAAGTTCAAACATTTTGTTTGTTTACTTTTAAATGCTTAATTTGTAAAGTTCTAACAGTATATGTTGCCATAACATCTTCTTTTACCAGTTTAACTTGTATAACCCCATATGTGTCTGTTCCTTCTTTTGGCCAGTACATATCACACTTTTTCTATAAAGAATATGTAATATTAATTAAAAGAAAATTAATAGAGCAAGTTGGGAGTTTTAATTTTTAAAACTATTAATAGCATTTTTAGAAAATAAACACAGGCAGTTATTAGAAATTAAATTACGAAATGATTAGGTAGAAGTTAAATTAAATAAGCTATATAAACACTTTTTCAAACGAAAAATTTACCACATGCTCTCTAAGGTGATTTCCAGTGTCCTAACAATAATAAAAAGAGAGTTGTAACAAGCTTAATATATAATTATGGAAAAAGTACATATTTAAAATTTAGTTTTTTATTACTGTAATACATCGAAAAGAATGTAAATAGTAATATGTTAACAAAACTTACCCTGCCACGTTCAACTAAGTTTGTAATCATTACTATGATTGCCACACGCTGTTCCCATATCATTCTCCAAAAACAGTCAAAAGTAGAAGGTAAAGGGCCCTGAGTACCTATATAAGCTTTAGACCACTGAAAACCATCAATATAATTAGCATTTATATAATCAATATTCTTTTTGTGCCCTGGCATTTGTAACAATTGTACACGACTGTGATCATCTACAGTATAAATGAAAAAGAATTAGTTTTCATAATCTGTAAAATATCAAGTAGTTTCACACACATGCAATGATGTTAAGATATCGGTTTTTAGCTCGATTATCTGGATGTTGTGAGTGCTCTGAAGGGTACTGATCTGCTGTACTGTCTGCTTGAATAGCCTCATATTCTCTGCTAAAACCACAGTCCCCATCAGCATGCAATTCTGCAACATGTTTGTTAAATTCAGAAACAGGCACAGGGCCTCTGTGCTCTCCTGAATCAGGAGATACATTCCAATCCAACGAAGCTGTAGGGACTGAGCATGGATGGTCTTCCAAATAACAGTAAGATACATAAAAGTATCGCCTGCAATAAGTCACGTGATTATAAATAAAATAACAAAAATTAACACACAAAGTAGAATATGCACCTCCATAAAATAAATGCTGTAATTGCAAAAAGCAAAGCCATTGTAACACAAATAACACCAGCAATTATTCCAACACTTAAACTGCTAACTGAGCTTTGTAAATATTGTTGTATTTTATCACAGTCTTGTTTCAGCTGAATATATCTTGCTTCAGAAAGAGTCCCATATAAAATTCGCTTTGTATAGTCACTGTATGTGGCAGCACCCACTTGCACTTTGTAAGTTTTGTCAGTGGTTAAATTTTTTATCATGTACTGAAGAATAATGAAAATTACATATCAATTGTAATATATATCTAAAATAATTGTAACTTACAGAAACATCAGAATAATCTTTAGTAGCAGATATTGTAAAGTTGTCAAATGTTATTTTTCCAGACAGATAAATAAAATAATAATCAATATTTTTATAAAATTCTGCTGGTCTTCCCCACTGTATAAATATAGATTCAGGTGATTGACAAGTAAGATTTAGTATGCTTGGAGAACTTGGTCCTGCAATGTCTGTTTTTTTAAAAATAGATGCAGAGGAGTTACCTTCATGTCTCCCAGTAAAAGCTTTAACCCAAATTTCATAATTGGTGTCTGGCCCTTAAAAGATGCTAAATTTTAGTTGTTATAACATACAAAAAATTAATACTTACATAAGTTGGTTAAATTATACTTTAATGTACTATTTTCATAAGTCTTGTAAGTTTGTACATCAGTAAAATTACCATCTCGGTAGTAAATTCTATAACCCTCAATAATTCCATTGGGTTTTTCTGGTTCAGTCCATCCAATAACAATACTGTTGGAAGTTACATTATAAGCTGCCACATTTCGTGGATTAGTTGGTACTGAAAAAACAGTATCAGTTTAATTTATAATTAAAACTTAAAAAATGACTAATTGTTACAGATATCTAAAGAGGTGGGTTCTTCCCTTGTTACAAATGCTTCTGTATCTATATGCTTTTGCCCCCCTATTAAGTAAATAACAATGGGAAACAAATAAATATGAGTATGATCCATTACTATTAAGTTATTTATGTTATTTACTACACGTTTGAAGCTCTTATTAGTCGACTGATGTGAAACGTTCATTAAATAAGAGTATTTTTGGAGTAATATACTCAGCCATCTTATTTTGTTCTTATTTTACAACACACAATTTGTTCGTTTTTAAATAAATTCGCACAAGATTTGCACAAAACTATTTTTAACAAATTTATGTTTATTTATAATGATTATAAACATTTGTCATTCTTTGTTTAACGCGTTGCACCCAGTTGTACCACCGATACAGTTGTCACAATATGAAAGAGAGAGACGGTAAATGTATCAACAACTGACAAAAACAGTGCAGGAGTTATACAGAACTTTTACTGTAGTTAATTCTATTAAACAAATAATTTTAGTTTTATACTTTTTGAAAACGTGTACTGTAATATCTAACAAATATTGAATTACTGTGTAACTGTGTTTAAAAAAGTAGCTAGAATTAATCAATGAAAGCTACAGACTTGTTTACGTCACTGACGCGAAAGCTTGTTCACTAGTTGGACCCATTCAGAACGGTAAGATACATTCACCAGTTGGTATCGTTTAATTTCAGTTGTTTTTGATTTTTACTTGATATATTATATGTGTGATGTTGTTTCATTACAGTTTAAATTAACACAAAAATTATCATTTAAGATGTTAAATTGGTTATTTTAATCCCTACCTATAACTGCTATTGATCTATAATTTTTAAGATTCGCCAGTTTTTTCTTATAGTCTTGTTACTGCAAAGGGTATTTGCGAAAGCAATAAAAATTTGTAAAAATCATCACGCAAAAAACTGTGTATCAATTTATGTTTGTTTTTTTCATTAAATAACATTTGCGAGAGGTCATTTTATCTACATAAAGCATTGTTCTTTTGCTGATTGTATGAAGATTTCAAATGTACAAGATATATTAAAATTAAAGTCGAACTGTCTTGTCAGTCAGGTATATTTGTAGTAAAAATTTACAAAATATGTAATATATTAAAGATATATAGCTGGGTGTACAATATATATATATATAATATAAATATTACATTCTTCCACGTTTTTTGTTTACTTTGTGGCGTGTGTTACCGAGGTGGTAAGCGATTGTTTTTTTTTTTTTTAATTCTTAAATAGTGAGTGGTGTTTTTTATTTATTTTATTGTTTAATTGATACTTCGTGTGACACTCTTAAAGCCTGTTCAGTGGGATGTCCTCGTATACCATCACATCTACAACAATGATAAAAGATAAATTGTAGACTTATCAGAAATAAGTTTTGCATAAGTAAAAAATGAACTCACTTGTATGCTGGTGGTCACTTTAAAGTGCAGATTTTCCGTAATGTGCAAATAACTGAACGACATTTTTAAGGTAGCAAGATTAAATAACAAAGCAAAATATAGTTTCATACAATTTCGTACGTACGCATTCAAAAATATATGAACCTGAAACCGTAAAGCTGCGCTTGTTGATCTAATTTTAAAACGGACAATTTTTTTGATGGTAAAATAAAAGGAAAAACCAACCAGTAATGCTTAATATACCCTGTAAAACCGGGACTTAAAATTAGTAATTATTTTATTTCAAATCGGCAAAGAACAATGCTTCTTGTAGATACACTACCTCTTGTTACTTATTCTGAAAGAATTATTACATTTCTCCTTTGTATGTATGTGTATATTGAAAAGCGTGTAATTCTTTTAATTCAGTATTACCTTTTT